TGGAGATGGAAAAGCACAAGGCCGTGTGTATGTTAAGTAGTTTCAAGCAGGAGGCGCAGAGGAGTCTCCACACATTTTTACTCTTGGTGGTACACTGTGTGACTAAATGCATCGGCTTTGCAGTTAGCCTGACTTAGCACAAATCTTGAATCTATTACTATTTCACTTGTATCATCTTGGACAAGTTACTCCACTTCTCCAGGTCTCAGGATTCTCATCTATGAAATGAGGACAAACGATATACATAATTCACAGGTAAAAGTAAAGGGAAGTACAATATAAATGATGTAGAATAGTGCACAGCACACAATAAGCACCCTTATTTCTAATATCTATTTTATGTGGATTCAGCCATACAAGTAGAAAGGTGAGAGAACAATATACACAAGAGTCAAATGCTCAGACTGTCGGGACAGGTCGACCCTTCCCCTCATTGGTGGCTCACTTCTGGGAGTGATTTAACTTCTGTAAGCCTAATTTCTGTTTTGGTAACATGATAAGATGACAACAGGACCTTTCTCATAGGTCGTTGTGTCATGTGAAGCACTTGCTTTACTTCCTGGCACATAGTCCAAGGTCTACAAATAGCAGCGGTTAATTATCACAGAGTTGGGATTAGGCATTAGCTGTGAAACCAGAATGCTTTAGTAAAATATGATATGCTAAGCAGTGAAGCTTTTTATTTCATGGGTCACTAAGAGAATAAGCTGATTTAATTCAGCCCTTTAAAGAAAAACAACAACAAAAAAACCAAAGCCAATCAACCAAATAGCAACAAAAACAAAGAAATAATCCTGCTGAAAGAAGGTATTGAATTTTTTATTGTAAGGTAAAGCATACATCTAGTGTGTGTGTGTGTGTGTGTGTGTGTGTGTGTGTGTGTGTGTGTTTCCCTCTGGATACCAAAATGATAGAAAGTGTTTTTAAAAATCAGACTTTATTTGGGAGTAGTACCACAACTGAGACTGCACTAACTCCTTTGTGTACCTTCAAGGTAGTATCTTTGACAAGGGAACTTTTGATCCATGGAGTCAGTGTGATAAATGTAGTTACTTGCTAGTATAGTCACTGGAATTCTATATAATTTTTGAAAAACTTTAAGAGAAGAGTGTAAGGGCAAGAAGATTACTAAAATGTTTCACAAATTTCAGCTTTCAGTTTTATCTAAAATTATAAATTAAATTTAGAACATCTGAAAGCTGAGGTACAATCACTAAGGCAAAAAGATGTTGACATAGATACCCTTTGAGGTGGCTTAAAAGCTATACTAAGAGTTGGGGATGAGGAAAGGTAACTGGTGCTTCAACAAGCATGAGTGTGTGTGGGATGTGTGTGGGAAAAGGGGTTGAGGAGTCGGAGGATTTTTTTTTCTGCTTAATTCTTACCACAAGCCTCTGATGTATGTAATATGGTTGTGATTTATTTTTATTCAAGTAGGCTATGGCTTAAATCCCAGCACCACCACCTTCTAGTTGCATAAACCTAAGCATCATAAGCCTTCATGTTATCATTTATAAATTGGGGCTAATAAATTAGTTTTTCCAGTTTCTTGCCAGAATTATGTAAAACAATAAATGTAAAGATGTTTGCACAATGCCTGGCACAGAGTAGTTGGTCAACAAAAGAAGCTTATTATTCTTGTTGTTATCAATTTTTATAGAATAGAAATTTACAGCTTAAGAGAAAGCAAAAGCTGTCTAAAACTTGAAATCCCAACTAACGGATAATTTTGCAAGATGATATAGAATCCATGTTATTCATAGGCGCTACCAAGTTTCTCAATTCTCCCTCCACAAGCCACACTTTGGAATCTCAAGAGCTCACTCACCCACCTCCTCATGCTGTCACACTTAACATTCTCCTTCCCAATAAGAACTCCAAGAATTACTGTCACATGTGTAATATTTACCATGTGGCAGCTTTTGTGTTAAAAAAAAATCATCCAGTGGCTTAACACACAATTATAGACTGAAGCAGTTTGGCAGAAGGGAGGGTGAGGGTTGATGGTGGAGAAAGGCTGTGTTTTATGCAATCATTCCAGATCCCAGGTTACTCTGTACTCAGCAGGCAGAAGGGAAAAGAAAAGAGACTGGAGATTTGGGGGGAGATTCTTATTGGCCGGGTCTCAAAATGATATCCTCTTTCACTTCCTTCCACTGTCTAGATCTCAGTTCCATGACAAAACTTAACTTCAAGGAAGTATGGGCGATGTATTTAGCTGGGTGTGCCAGCAAAGGACTGGGGTGAATAAGTTGCTAGTGTCTGCAGCAGCAGCCAACCTCCACCTGCCCATCATTATTCACACACAGGGAGACACATACCCTTATAGGGGACTGGCCTGAATGAGGAGACATGAAAATTATGCCCATAATATTAATGAAGAAGACAATCAACGAACAAATCAGCCTAATATTTGTTTTTCATGTGAGCATCAGCTACTGATGAAGTAGCTGAGATGCAGTAGATGAGAGATGCATCTCAGTTACAAACAGGAATGGCTTTTATCCATCAATTATATTTCTAGGTACTTACCTTAAGTAAATAAGTGGAAAGCATACAAAGATATATGTAAAAGTTGCTCATTACAGCATTATTGGATTAGGGAAATTGTAGATTAAAATGTGCACCAATAGAGGGTTGATTTAGCCAAATCGTGGTACATTTATACAATGTGGCACTCTGTAGTCTTTAAATGTAAAAAAGTGTTTTGTTTTGTTTTTTGTTTTGTTTTTTACTTATATGACAAGTTGCCAAATACCAAATATAATACCTTGTATGCAATCGTCTGAGCCACTGTGTGCTGCCTGCACTGTGTGAAATTTATGCCATGAAGCTGAACAGCACAGCAACCCTGGAAATATCTGTGGCTATCTTTATATTTATGTCTCTATACAGAGACTCATCCTGTTCCTATCCAGTAGATAGTTCTTACAAACGGAGCGAATAGAATCACATCTTTTGAATTTTACCACATTCATTAGTTGAAGTTCCCGTATACCTTAATTGCAGAAAATTCAGAATCTCCTCATGATGTTCTTCTAGCTTTCTGAGAAGTGCAACAAAATGGAAGGTGTGAGGGGAAGGCATGGATCAGTTTGGCTTCCCCTCTTGGTGGGGCGGGGGAGTAAATCGCAGTACACTGCCTCCCAGTGGAGTTACTGAAAACAGCTGCACCTTGTCTGAGAGATGGTGTTGGTCTTATGCTACTCTGGCATCCTGCATAGCCCACCACCACGAAGCCCTGGAACTGTACCCTCTTTTTTCACAGAGGATTCCCCTGAGTGACCAGCTTTTCTCTAAATTTCACAAAGCAGAAATTGTTGGATTGCAATCAGCTGCAATTTAATAAGGGTATAACTCACTAATTTCTCTGAGAGAGCATTCCCTCAATGACTCTCAGGCAATTCTCCTTTTAAGAAAGGCTCTTTAAGAGATTTCAAGGTGTACTCACATAAGTCCTTCCAGAAGGATGGGAAAGAAGAAATTCCACCGATAATTATGGATTACTGTACCCCTGACACTAGAAAATACGTGATAAAAATTTTATAAATGTAAAATGAATACATATGCACTTATAGAAAATATTTCTTTTTCTTCATATAAATGTGTCTATGTGCATATAAAGTTCTATATGTGACCTACATACAAACTATAAAATCTATAATATGTATGAAGAGAGAGGGATGCCTGGAAGGAAGGTCCCAAAATAGTATCTGTTGTCTGTAATAGCGACGTTGTTTTGCTCATTTAACTTATTTATTTATAAATATATTATTTATTTCAAATATATAACTCATAAAATCCCATTCCTTGCATTTCTACATGCTATATAATTCTTAATTTAGCATGATGTGTAGATGTGATTGCATGTGTATGGACTTATATTTTAGTAAATTCTTTTTAAAATTTGTTTTCACTACCTTAGGTGAAAAGTGGTACGACACAAATTATTAAGAGTTGTATGTTAGTACTTAAAATTGACACAAATTGGGCCTCTGAATGGATCTGGGTGAAATGTAGTTATGTTCTTCTCTAAGCCATTTTAATTCTATGGTACCTTCTCTTTCTCAGTGATAGCCATGTATCTGTTCATAAGTCATCTTTCTATTCCTCTCGCCTTCACTGAAAAGTGTTGGCAATCAGTCTTGATGACATTACCATTTTGTCTTTGGGGATGTTTTCACTCATTCCTGATTCTATAAATAGTGTATGATCATAATGAGTAAAGGCCTGTAGGTGATGTATCTGCAAGCGCATGGCCCCAGAGAAATAGAAATTCTGGATTAGAGGTAGATGTTGGGTTAGGACCTCTAGAGACAAGTGTATTACAGTTCCACTGACCCTTATAGAACCTTCACATAGTAGGTTCTTTATGAGTATTTGTCAAACTGAAATGACCTGAATAATTTTATTGATTATAAATTAACCTGCTTCTTTTAGGGCCTGGGATATCTCATAGTTTTACCTTTCCAAATACAGTTTCAAGATATTTCAATCAGAGAAAATTAAGGCCATTGCCAAGAATATTTGTCACTGTTTAATGTACCTAAAGCAACAAAAATAAAAAGTTTCCTGTTGGCTGTAGGTTAAAAAAGAAATTTCTTCCTTAGCAAGCAGTCCATGGCATGCTGTGAAGGAAAGACAATGCTATTTGGCTAAAGGCTCCAGTGACATGGAAGGATGTTCAGGTGACTGTGTAAATAGATTCTGCTTGACTACCTCTCCCACATGGGGGAGTTGCCTTTAAAGCACATTATTTTGTTATCAAAGCTAGAAGCAGTGTGGCTGAAGTGAGACTCAGATTTCAAACCCCTCTACTTTGAACAGGAAGGGTCCCTGGGTGACCTGGCTTCTGATCAAAGATTTGGGAAATCCTAAGCCTTCCTTTGAGTCCTGGCTGAGACAAGTAGAGTTGATTTGCAGATATCCTCACTTCATGTTCTAAAGTTTTGATTCAGCTCAATGTGGACCCCGACAAACATTCCCTTTCCCACCATCCCCTGGCTGTGAGCTGATGCTGACTTGAGTCCCCTACTGACTTAAGCATATTTTTTAAAATTAAAAACAAGCTTTGTTCCCTAATACAAAATTGTACAGTAAGTCCTCACTTAACAGTACCAATAGTTTCTTGGCAACTGTAAGTGAAATGACATGTAACAAACCATTTTTTTCCTCATCAATGTTATGATGTTAATCACGATTTTGAAGAACTGCTGTATATCACTTCATTTCATCACTTAGCCGTTGACATTGAAAACTTACATCAAGTAACTTCTTTGTCAAAAAGTTAAAAAATAGTGTGATTAAAATCTGGAAAATAAAATAATACCCACACTCTCACCATACATGCACACACAGACACACACACATATAGACACACACACACACACACACTTGTTTTTGTATGCGTGTTGCATAATAGAATTTCACGTACAGGTGCTTCAAAACTTATGATGAGGTTATGTCCTACGAAACTCATAGGGTGTTAAAAATATTATAGTTTGAAAGTGCTTTTAATACATCTGGCCTACAGAGCATCATAGCTTAGCCTAGCCTACCTTCAATGTGCTCAGAATACCTACTTTAGCCTACAGTTGGGCAAAGCCACCTGGTAACACAACACTAGAGAGTAGGGGTTGCTTATCCTCCTGATCATGTGACTGATTAGGAGCTGTGCTCCCTGCCTCTGGCTAGCACTGTGAGTGAGTAACATTCTGCAGATTCCTAGGCTGGAAAAAGACCAAAATTCAACATTTGAAGTGTGGCTTCTGTAGAATCCATATTTCTTTCACATTTTCATAGTCGAAAAGTCTTAAATTGAACAGTTGTAAATTGGTGATCATCCATATTAATATGTTGTTAATGTGTTATTATATGTATAAATATACATATATATTAATCTTTAATATTATTAGCTATTTAGGCTAAAATAATGTACTGTAACCATTTCTGCTCATCTTCTATTTTGTTGGTATTTAGTTTTCTTTCAATCTAATCAGAACTCATGGCTGAAAACAAGCCAGGAAAGAATTTCAGCTAAAGAAATTTGAGGGTGGCCAGACAGACATTTGGGTGTGAAGGGAAGGTATACCCTAGTAATCTTCAAATCTCCTTTATTCCTGTGAGCACCAGCTCTTTTCAAGATACGTTTTTTTGTTTTTTTTTAATCTCCATCTAATTAGTTAGCACAAGTTTCAGGAAGATTCTATGAGGATATTCTTGACTTCTTAAAACTCTATTTTGAAAGACATATTCTTATCTCTGGATCTCTTAACATTTTAAAATAATAATGACACACATGCATACACTATTTGGGATCAAAAGCCCAACTTAAAACACTGTTTTGGGTAAATTCCTCCTCTACTTATGGGGAAAAACATCTCATTTTCAAGAATTCATGTGACTTTAGAAAAAATTTCATTTCATGTCATGGGAAAAATATTCTATTAGCCTAAGATTTCAAAACCTCAGAAGTTTTAATTTTTGTTTCCTAAAAAATATCTTAGAAAAACAACTGTAATAGCATCTGGAAGTCAAAAGATTCAGTTAAGTCCTCTCACAGAACTCAGAAAGCATTATTAATTTGATTTTTTGGGAGAGTTCAGTAGGGGAAGTCACTTATCACAGAATTTTTTACAAGGCTTTGTCATTTTTCATATGTGTACGTGTACATGTGTTATGTATACCTGTATTATAAAAAGTACCTTCTCCATTGTTTGTTTCTGTCAGATTTGTCAAAGATCAGATGGTCGTAGATGTATGGTGTTATTTCTGTGGCCTCTGTTCTGTTCCATTGGTCTATATATCTGTTTTGGTACCAGTATCATGCTGTTTTGATTACTGTGGCCTTATAGCATAGTTTGAAGTCAGGTAGCATAATGCCTCCAGCTTTGCTCTTTTTGCTTAGGAGTCTTGTCTATTCAGACTCTTTTTTGGTTCCGTATGAAATTTAAAGTAGTTTTTTTTTTTTTTTCTAATTCTGTGAAGAAACTAAGTGGTAGGTGATGGGAATAACATTGAATCTATACATTACTTTGGGCAATATGGCCATTTTCATGATATTGATTCTTCCTATCCCTGAGGATGGAATGATTTTTTCCATTTGTTTGTGTCCTCTCTTATTTTCTTTAGCAGTGGTTTGTAATTCTCCTTGAAGTGGTCCTTCACATCCCTTGCAAGTTGTTTTCCTATGTATTTCCTTCTCTTTGTAGCAATTGTGAATGGGAGTTCACTCATGATTTATCTCTCTGTTTGTCTGTTATTGGTGTATAGAAATGTTTGTGATTTTTGCACATCGATTTTGTATCCTGAGACTGCTGAAATTGCTTATCAGCTTAAGGAGATTTTGGGCTGAGATGATGGCATTTTGTGAATATGCAATCATGTCATCTGCAAACAGAGACAATTGGACTTCCTCTCTTCCTATTTGAATACGTTTATTTCTTTCTCTTGCCTGATTGCCCTGGCCAGAACTTCCAATACTATGTTGAATAGGAGTGGTGAGAGAGGGCATCCTTATCTTGTGCTGGTTTTCAAAGGGAATGATTCCAGCTTTTGCCCATTCAGTATGATATTGCCTGTGAGTTTGTCATAAATAACTCTTATTATTTTGAGACATGTTCCATTAATACCTAGTTTATTGAGAGTTTTTAGCATAAATCAGTGTTGAATTGTATCAAAGGCCTTATCTGCATCTATTGAGATAGTCATGAGGTTTTTGTCATGGATTACATTTATTGATTTGCTTATGTTGAACCAACCTTGCATTCCAGGGATGAAGCCAACTTGATAGTGGTGGATAAACGTTTTGATTTGCTGCTGGATTCCCTTTTTAATAAATGGTGTTGGGAAAACTGGCTATCCATGTGCAGAAAACTGAAACTGGACCCCTTCCTTACACTTTATACAAAAATTAATTCAAGATGGATTAAAGACTTAAACATAAGACCTGAAAGTATAAATACCCTAGAGGAAATCCCAGGCAATACCATTCAAGATGTTGGCATGGGCAAAGACTTCATGGCTAAAACACCAAAAGCAATTGAAACAAAAGCCAAAATTGACAAATGGTATCTAATTAAACTAAAGAGCTTCTGCAGAGCAAAATAAACTATCATCAGAGTGAACAAGCATCCTACAAATTGAGAAAAAATTTTTGCAATCTATCCAACTGACAAAGGGCTAATATCCAGAATCTACAAAGAACTTAAACAAATTTACAAGAAAAGTAACAAACAACCCCATCAAAAAGTGAGCAAACAATATGAACAGACACTTCTTAAAAGAAGGCATTAATGTGGCCAAAAAACATATGAAAAAAAGTTCATTATCACTGGTTATTAGATAAATGCAAATCAAAACCACAATGAGATACCATCTGATGACAGTTAAAATGGTGGTCATTAAAAAGTCAGGAGACAACATATGCTGGAGAGGATGTTGAAAAATAGGAATGCTTTCACACTGTTGATGGAAGTGTAAATTAGTTCAACCATTGTGGAAGACAGTGTGGCGATTCCTTAAGGATCTAGAACCCAGAAATACCATTTGACCCAGCAATCTCATTACTGGGTATATACCTAAAGGATTATAAATCATTCTTTTATAAAGACACATGCATACATATGTTTATTGCAGCACTATTCACAATAGCAAAGACTTGAAACCAACCCAAATGCTCATCAATGATAGACTGGATAAATAAAATATGGCACATGTACACAATGGAATACTATGCAGCCATAAAAAAGAATGAATTCATGTCATTTGTAGGGACATAGATGAAGTTGGAAATCATCATTATCAGAAAACTAATACAGGAACAGAAAACCAAACACTACCTCTTCTCACTCATAACTGGGAGTTTAACAATGAGAAACCCTGGACACAGGGTGGGGAACATCACACACTGGGGCCTTTCAGGGGGTTAGAGGGCTAGGGAAGGGATAGCATTAGGAGAAGTGCATAATGTAGATGATGGGTTGATGCGTGCAGCAAACCACCATGGCACATGTATACCTATGCAAGAAACCTGCACGTTCTGCACATGTATCCAAGAACTTAAAATATAATGATAAAAAAATTTTTAAAAAAATCATCTTCTGTGCCTTTTATGCTTCTGGTTTAGGATGTTAATGCTACTTACTGTGATTGTTCCAGTTGTGTTGTCTGTATTATTTTCTTTCAAATTTTTTGAAATAAATTCTCTATCTGAATGAGAAAAAGAAAAGCCACAGCCGTCTCTGATTTTTCTCTAGAGAGACACCTAGTTTCAAATTCAAGCAGAACAGATGGTTCTGAGCCCTTGATGGTCACTGCCTATGCACTTTCTTTTAATGACTACTGTAAGTAAATGTCAAAATGTCTTGTTCATTCAGAGATTAAAATGTCTCTGCATGGTTAAGGGGCAGCTTGACTTGGTAGAAGGATGCTTGTTTTCCAAAGGCCTGGGTTCAACTCTTGGGTCTGTGAATTCATAGTTATGAAATCTTAGGTAAGTCCTTCTACCCTACTTAAACTGGATTTCCATATCTGTAAAGAAGCAAGCTCAGTACTTCTCTGAATGTGTGTAAAGTGATAAAAATCAGATAAAACAATGAATTAAAATAAAAACATAGTGTGTCAAAATCTGTGGGTTTATATTAAAGCAGAAATCACTATTAGAAAAAACTGGTAAGCCCAAGGAGGAGGTACTGCAAAGACCTATGGGAGCGACCCGGGAGAAGGAGGGCCAACGTGGCGGAAGCGGAGGAGTCTCCAGGAGGCCTGGGGACAGCATCGCCCGGGCCCCTGCCCTACCTACCTTCTTTATTACTTTGAAGCAAATCCCAGGCATCATTACATTAGTAAATATTTGCTTGCAGGCCTTTCAGATATATCCATCTCACAAGACATTCCAGGAGAGGGAAAAATCACCATTCCTATAAGATCTCGCATCCGGGAATTTGACAGCTCCACATTAAACGAATCTGTTCACAATACCATCATGTGTGATCCAAAAGCTGCTGGGAAAAAATTCATGCATGTTTTGTACCCAAGGAAAAGTAATACTCTTTTGAGAGATTGGGATTTGTGGGGCGCTTTGATCCTTTGTGTGACACTCGCATTAATGCTGCAAAGAGACTCTGCAGATAGTGAAAAAGATGGAGGGCCCCAGTTTGCAGAGGTGTTTGTCATTGTTTGGTTTGGTGCAGTTACCATCACCCTCAACTCAAAACTTCTTGGAGGCAACATATCTTTTTTTCAGAGCCTCTGTGTGTTGGGTTACTGTATACTCCCCTTGACAGTAGCAATGCTGATTTGCCGGCTGGTACTTTTGGCTGGAGCAGGACCTGTAAACTTCATGGTTCGGCTTTTTGCAGTGATCGTAATGTTTGCCTGGTCTATAGTTGCCTCCACAGCTTTCCTTGTGGATAGCCAGGCTCCTAACCGCAGAGCCCTAGCTGTTTATCCTGTTTTCCTGTTTTACTTTGTCATCAGTTGGATGAGTCTCACCTTTACTCCTCAGTAAATCAAGAATGAAAAATTAAAAACCAGTGAATTGAAAGCAAAAAAAAAAAAAAAAAAAGAAGAAACAACTGATAAAATCAATGATCTAAGCATGTATCTTAAGGATATTGAAAAATATGAGAAAATTAAACACAAATTAATAGAAGAAAGAAAGAATCAGGGCAGAAGACATTGAAATAAAAATCTAACAAAATAGAGATTATGATAATCTAAAACTAATACATTAAAAAGAGTAATAAAATTGTCAAACCTCTAGCTAGGCTGATCAAACAAAAATAAAGAAAACACAAATTAACCATATCAGTAATAAATGGACAGCTTTAGATCCTTCAGTCATTAAACGTTTAACAAGGGAATACAATAAACAACTTTATGAGGATAAATTTGTCAATATAAATTTATCATACAAAATTATATAATTAACAATTGCAATATTGATATAAGCAGAACTTTAAAATATGGATAGTTCTATAAATGGTTTTTTAAACCACTTAATTTGAAGTTAAAATGATTACCATTGAATTGTCTTGGAATCTATGTTGAAAATCAATTGATTGTGAATGTATTGGTTTATTTCTGAATTCTTAATTCTGTTCCATGGATCTATATATCAATTTTTATGCCAGTAACATGTCTTGATTACTGTTGCTTTGTAATAAGATTTGAAATAGGGAAGTGTGAATCCTACTTTGTTTTTCTTTTTCAAGAATGTTTGAGCCCTTTAAGCATCCTTGCTATTTCATATGAATTTGAGAATAGGCTGTTCCACTACAGTAAACAACAACAAAAAAGGCATTAAAATGTTCAAAGGTATTGCATTGAACCTGTGATCATTTTTTGGTAATATTGACATCTTAACAATATTGTCTTTCTACCCATGAACATGGAATGCCTTTTCACTTACTAAGGTCTTCTTTAATTTATTTCATCATTGTTTTCTAGTTTTTAGTGTGCAAGAAATATACTTATTTTGTTAAATACATCCGTAAGATCTTTATTGTTTATGATATTACTGTGAGTAGTATTATTTTATTAAATTCATTTTTGGATTGTTCATTGTTAATGTATAGAAATATAACAAATTTCTTTATATTGATGAGGAATCCTGAATTTATTACTTCTAATAGTTTGTGTGTGTGTGTGTGTGTGTGTGTGTGTGTATGAGTGCATGTTGATGCATTAGAATTTTCTAGGTACAAGCTCATGTAATCTGCACATAAGCTACATGGAGGTAGTTTTTTTGTCTTTCAAAACTGTATGCCTTTCATTTTTCCTTCTTATCTAATTGCCCTGGCTAGATTTTCCAGTATAATGTTTTATAAGCGGTGAGAGCAGACATCCTTGTCTTGTTCTTGATGGGCATAAACATTCAGTCTTTCACCATTTAGTGTGGTTAACAATGGGTTTAGGATAGATGGTTGTTACCAGGTTCAGGAAGCTTCCTTCTCTTCCTAGTTTGTTGAGTGCTTTTGTCATGAATAGGTGTTGATGTGTCAAATGCATTTTATTTGCATATTAAGATGATTATATGGTTTTTGCCTTTATTTTATTAACATGGTATATTACATAGTTTGATTTTCATACATTGAGCTAACCTTGCATTTCTGGGGTAAATATCACTTGATCATTTTGTATGATACTTTTTATATGTTGTTCAGTTCACTTTTCCAGTATTTTGTTTACAACTTTTTGGGGAGGTGGTCTTTTCATAAGGCATGTTATTTAATTGTTTTCTTTTCCTGTGATGTCTTTGGTTTGGGAATCAGATTAATACTGGCCTCATAGAATGAGTTGGTAAATGTTATCTTTTCTGTCTTTGGAGGAGTCTGTCAATGATTGTAGTTAAGTCTACTTTGTTTGTTTGTTTATTTATTTATTTATTTATTGAGACAAAGTCTGGCTCTATTGCCTAGGCTGAATTGCAGTTGTGCCATCTCCACTTCTGCTCACTGCAACCTCCGCCTCCCAGGATCAAGGCATCCTCCCACCTCAGTCTCCTGACTAGCTGGGACTACAGGCATGCAACACTATGCCTGGCTTTTTGTCTCTTTTGTAGAAACAGGGTTTCACCATCTTGCTTCAAACTCATTAATTCAAGTGATCCGCTAGCTGCAGCCTTCCAAAGTGCTGGAATTACAGGCATGAGCTATCGTCCATGGTCAAGTCTACTTTGAACATTTGGTAGATTTTTGTCAGTAAAGCCATCTGGACCTGAATTTTCC